TTTACCAATTTATCATGATTTTGACGTAAAATTATAACTAATCGCGATTTTTCTGCTGTGATTCTGTGACAACAAGCAAAAAAATAGCTGTTTAATCGCCGATTAGCAAACTTTCGTTTTTCGAATACACCAGTATCTCCGAATCCTGGGCTATCACATAGAATAATACTGCCTTTAGTGTACCCGCCAACATCCTTAAAATTTACTATAACAGAAGTAATATATCTAGTTTCAGATCGAGCAAACGGTGAATTTGTTATTTTTTTCAGGTCAGAGTTTTTTATTTCGGTAGGAGCGATGTGATTTAATCCATTCACCTCCTGTTCAATCATCTTAGACCCTGCAAGAAAGTGAATAGTAGTCGATTTACCAGTTCCAGTTCCTCCCAAAAAAAGAATGATGTCTTTATCCTTTATCAGCTGTGTTGCATCCTCGACTTTCTCAATAAGCCTAAACAATTCTCCCATATCCAACGGACTGATCCGCTCCAACAGTTTTTTCAATGTAATTAAAGCCACTTTCCACTTATCATTTTTTACATTTATGAAGGCTGTTTCTACTAAATTTCGAATTTCTTTAGACTCTAGTTCTTCGATCTTTAATCGCTCTCTCAAATGTTCAAATTCTTTCTCTATTTCTGTCTCTATTCGATCAGGTACTTTGATACTATCGTCTGAGACTATTGTGTCACCAACTAATTTTAAGGAAATATAATACAGAAGACAGATTATGAATCTTTCCGAACAAAATGGCATTGAGGAAAAGTCTTTCTGCATGTTCTTTAAATTTTCTTCGGTAATCGAACGTTCCTCCACTCTGCAACTGACCATTTCAACTATTTCTTTCTTTTCAAACTCCTTGGATGAATCATCATCTAGATGATCATTCTTTGACTTTTTTTCTGGGTTTTCATTGCTAACACTTGAATGAGAAGGTTTCATAGCCTCTATGCGATCGAATAATAATTCAATTTCGAGTTCTGATAAAGAATTCTGCCGCTTCTGTGCATCCTTGTGTTTCCCTTCTTTTTTTAGTGACTCAACTTCTTGTTTCTTCTGAATTACTAGTTGTTCAAATTCCTCTTTAATACTGATATCGTATTCAGCTAAACAAGTTTCCAACTGTGTTTTTAACATTTCATATTGCTCAATTTCTGATTCTGTTCGTGGTACTTTCACTGGTGATTCAGACGCCTCCTGAATATTCAGTGTTTCCAATTCACTGCGTAATGTTTGTGTAGGATAACGAAGTTTTAAAATGTTACCTTCAAGTGAAGTTGCTGTCAAAACGTTTTCTTCGACTGTCTGCCATTTTGTTTGTTCATCATCAGTCAAATAAGCATTTGTTTTGGGATTGTCAAACATTTGACTTGGCGAATAATGCGTGTTTGGATTGTGTACTTCTGTAAGTACAGCTTTTTCGGCTGCTTTCAATAAGTTTTCAATAGTTAACCGTGCGCTAAGTTTTTGATCGTTGTGCTTTTGAAAAGTTTTCGACTTTAAAATAACACCTGGATAAATTTTTGTAAATTGTTTTTGTAACTTGTCGGGTTGAAAAGTAGAATTCTTCACTGGATCAATAAATTCGGCCCATTCAATCTGTCCGTCCATTTTATATTTTATTAATACTCCAATCCAATGAAAATCTCCCAAGTAATAAGGAATAAGCATAACACATACTTCAGTTAGTTTTTCCTTTGTCTGTCGCAATCGTTGCTCCCATTCACCATCTATGGTATCATCAACAGCTGCTAGAACCTGAACTGATTTTGAAAAACGTTCAGGAAACTGCTGACGTGCCTCTTCCAAACGAGTTAAAAGAGCATCCTGGATATTTATAGTTTGATGTGGCTGATTTATAAAATCTTCCGAATTATCCATTTGTTGGGATGCTTCTTAACAAAATGTATTATACTACTTGTCAAATTTAATACAAAAAATATTCAGAAATAATACAATACCAAAGAATTTCTAAAACAGAACAACACTTTATTTAGGATTCGAAAAGTAGACAATCTTCTCTTGACAGAGTATTTTCCAAATTCATACACAATCAAAGCAGTGTAAATGATGCAGGAAATAAAAAAATCTTTTACTCTACTCGTAACTACTATCCATCCCAAAATACAGTCCGGTGTGCCACTTTTTGAATAATTTCTCACAGAAGATAGATAGAGACCTGTGGTTTTCGGTGTTCGATAGCCAAGACTTGAGCAGAACGTTTCACAAGCAAAAGCAACTTTTGAAACAATTTCAAAGATCGGGTTTTCAGAGGATGTTTCGAAAACTAGCTCCGTTCTCAGAAAACTACCATACAATGTTAGTCATTCTTTTGCATGCGTACATAGTCCGGATGTTACTCTACAAAATTATGCAAGTTCCGGCACTCCAGCTATCGTCGTTCGGACAGGACACGCTTTTCCCGAGCACGTGTCTATCTCCGAGCAGATCTCTCTGGGAATCTCAAAATGCCATGGAATACAGGTAATCGACTACGCTGTGCATAGTGGCAACATTTGTTTTTGTGCAGGAATGAATATAACTCCGCTAGAGGCATTTTTGTGAAAAACCGGTTTTTTGCCTGTCACTAGCAAAAATTAAAATCCTTATATCTCGATCAAATCTCATGCTGACTTAAGGAAATTTTCAGGAAACGCACAGGACAGCCCATAAAGCATAATCGAAGACGGAAAAGGTGGATTTCAGCCGGGCATTGGTTGAAACTTTTCCAGAAACCTTCTGAAAAACCTTAAAGCGTCAGTGCTCTGTTGGACCACTTTTTCGGCGTGATCAACAATATATGGCACCTTTTAAGTCTTTCCTAAAAGGATAGTGAACAACCAGACAACAAAGGGTTTTTGCTTATCCTCAGATTTTCTTCCGAATGTGAAGCGCGAAAATCTTGATTGTTGTTTCATTCGATAACACATCAAAATAGTGTATATATCTTTTATTGAGAAGTGTATATATCTTTTTTTTCAAATAAATTTATTACAAATTCTAAAAGCTTTTTTTGGTAGCCTGACCTTCTTTTACTGTCCATTGTTGAGCGCGCTCTTGGCTGTTTATTGTCATAGACTTTATTCCAAAAATTTCCTTAGTTGTTTTTTGGGACGCGATCTATTTGTAATGAAATACTTAAACTCTGCATCAAACCTATTATATTTATTTGCTACAGTTTTGGCCAAAACTCCTTATCCACATAGAACTCAAATATCGCTTTGACTATTATAAAATTTGAGGGGTTGTTAGCACAAATCGTTGTAAGATAAAGAGACACTTTACGTTTAGACGCATATTTAGATAGTGTGACTGATATTCGATCGACATAATTGGTCACTTCAATATCGCATACAAAGAACATCCTGAAGGCCAAAAAGATTGATTTCCTCGGATTGTCGACATTGACTATCGATTTGGATGATAAATGGTATGAGGAAACAAATTTATGAAGAACGAGCCGGCATGAAAGTTCTTATAGTTTGAGTGCTAAGCATTATTGTTTTTACGACTCGGTATTATCACACTGGTTCCTTGTTATAATGAAGATATATATGAATACAAAATACAGAATGTTAACGAGTGATCAAACTAACTGATTATATATATATATATATGAACGAATTAGGAAAAACTAAAAACGTCCGAAAGAGGATATGAAGGAGACGGGCAAGTACCTGAACTACATGGAAAGAAGAGAACTGTTGAAAAAGCCTGCAAGAGCAAGAAAAAAATGAATATATCTATTCCATATTATATCGGCATAAAATAGCAGAATAGAAGAAAGAAAGATATGAAATATGACACATAATTATGTCATACTACAACAGATAATGCAAAGGTTTTGCTGAAATGCGGTATCTGCTCTATAATCACACAATATAAATACTTACCGATAAACCAACTAATTAAATAACAAAACGGCAACCAATAAGTATTGCAAAGTCACGAGAATAGTTAGAAATTCGATAATCATATTTTATCTAAAAGCAAATAAACATATGGAAAACGAACTTTTTATCCAATTTCACCTTCGTTTCTCACCTTATATTAACTACACAGGTAATCTCAAACTGAATGTATATCATAAAGAGGAATTCTCTGCTTATACAAGTACAAATAGGAATACATTATAAGCAACGCTTTTTCCTTAAACCTTCCTTGCTATTATCAGCTAAATATAGCACAGATCTGCACTTCTAATGCATTTGGTTAACTTAAGTCAAATTGTTTGCTTAAGTGTTAAGTCTGAGTTAAGTTGTCCTGTGTGAAACACACTTAAGTCAAAAATTAAGTTTCACTTAAGTCCGACTTATCTTCGATTTCGATTTTGTCTTAAGTCATGCATTTAAGTTAGACTTAGTTTAGTTTTTTCGTGAAACGAGCACCAGTTTCTTAAAAAAACTTAAGCAAAACTTAAGTAGAAAATCTGACTTAAGTCTCTCTTAAGTGTTTCTTAAAAAAACTCAACTCAATCTTCCTACTTAAGTTTTCATTTAACTTAAGTTGTCGTTCGAGAAACACACTTAAATCGAATCTTAAGTTTGACTTTAGTGCGACTTATTTTTTCACTTAAGCTTTTTTAAGAAACTAGCCCCAGATTATGCTTGTTTGTTTACTGTTCTGTTTTGCAGTTAAGCAGACGTGACGTTACTGGGGTGGGGAGCCTGACACTCCCCCCAATCTTATTAGTATATTACACCTGAGCAATACATAGCCACTCATTACAATATACCCAGGTCCAAGAAAACGGCACCGTTAACGGCCCGTTAGTTGGCTGTTAACGGTAAGTTAACGGGCCGTAAACGGACCGTTTTTAGTTTCTAAACGGACCGTTTTCAGAACCTAAAACTCGTAACGTTTTAGGGTCTTAAACAGATCCTTTTTTCACCGTTGCACTTCGACTTAAGTCAAGTTTTTCTTGTTCGAGTACCTCATTGCGCTACATGCGCACTGCAAAAAAAAGAAAGCTGAGAACTAGATTCGAACTTCTGCACTGTTTGCTTACACTGATAAAACCGGTTGATACCGCCGGTATTACGAACTGGTATACCGCACGGTTCAGTAGACCGTGCGGTAATTTCAGTTCCGCTAGCTCCGGATACCACCAAGAGCCGTGTAGGATCACCGGAGCTGATTTTCTATCTCACGTGAGAATCACCTGCCAAATACTTAATTTTATTCAAGAAAAATTAACATCAGTCAAAACTTCACTTTCAAACTGAATCTTTCTATTAGAAAATGGTTTTGTTGCCTTTCTACTGGTGATGTTGAAAAGGTTTGAAAAAGTCGGGGAGTAGGACTTCCAGAAAACCATGCTCTTTTGTTCATAAAAGTTTTTTCCTGATATTATTTTTAAGTTGAAAAGTTTTTCAATAACTGTGTCTTATTATAAAAGTGTTTCAGCTACAATTTAAAAGAAATATTATCGAAAAATCTCTTTTTCTTACCACATTATATCACAAATGCGACTTTTTCAAAGGCTTCCAGCAAAATGATCCTAACTCTATCAGAAAACATTGTGGATAGTTGGAAGTGGTCTTATTTTGTAGAGGGCACTTTACTCTATAATGTACAATATTTAACTCAAAAATAAAAAGCATTTCTAGAGGAGTTACCTTTAATTTTCTCTTATGGTGTACATTAGGATTCGACAATATATACACCACTCGATAGAGCAAGTCTTCCTGTACAAGCTCGTACGTATCCTCTTTTAAAAACTTATAATTTTTCACAATACAACAAAAGAATGTTGAACTCATACAATTAATCTTTTCATTTATGAAATTACTATCAACAGACAATGTGGGAATAATGGAAAGATGATTGAGTTGGACGACGGAAACGTTTGCTTTCATAATGTTATTTTTTGTTAGAGAGTCCCTAGAAGCGTGCCACTGTCTTACCCCATGGAGGCAAAACGCACCAATTAAAAAAACATTTCGTACATATTACATTGTCAAATGCATCACCGTTAACATCCGTACATAGAAGAGCACAATTCGAGCGGCATGTCTGTGGACATTTCGCGTACAAACAATCATTGAACCATACATTGGCTGAAGCAACACCCGTCGGACAACCATTTTTCATTTATCTGCTGAGAGCCATCTTTGACAACTAAAGTGCGGTTTTTTCCGTTTTGGTCAGTTTTAAGCTGCATTTTTTATTGGAAAAGGGCTATTCCCGTCGACCATTGTTATTATTTCCGTATTCTTTATAGTCGAAAGTATATGTATTCACTGAAAACCCAATATGTAATTTGTCGTTCTCGAGATGTGAGTCTCTAAAGATCCAGGTTTTCCACAAAACCTGTAGACTTTATAATCTGTGTAAAAATTTAAATTTAGGCCAGTTTGTAGAGAATTCAATTTCCTATAAAATGACACATTACTAAGGATTTTTGGATGCCATATGACCGAGTTATAGCGAAAACTTAACCTTCGGAAAACTATAGGTGAAGCTGGATTTTCTAAACATTTGTCGCAACTTCATATGTTTACGCTCATATGGCGTCCAAAAGTTCATCGTGACGTGTCATTTTGTAGGAAATTGAATTCTCTGCAAACTGGCCTAAATTTAAATTTTTACACAGATTATAAAGTCTACAGGTTTTGTGGAAAACCTGGATCTTTAGAGACTCACATCTCGAGAACGACAAATTACA